CTGCGATGAGACCCCCCAATCAGACAACAGTCCGAGAGTTTGTGTTTGTGGGATTCTCCCGAGTGCGAGGAACCAACCTGTGGCTCTTTGCGGTGGTCTTCTCCATGTACCTCATCACCCTGGCAGGCAACATGCTCATCATTACGGCCATCCGCATCGACCCCCGGCTCAACACACCCATGTACTTCTTCCTGAGCAATCTCTCCTTCCTTGACATCTGCTACACGACAAGTGTGGTGCCCCAGTTGCTGGCCCACTTCCTGACCAGCCACAAGACTATCTCCTTTGACCGGTGCATGGCTCAGCTCTACATCTCTCTGTTCCTGGGAAGCACGGAGTTTATCTTGTTGGCAGCCATGGCCTATGACAGATACGTCGCCGTCTGCCATCCCTTGCACTACAAGGTCATGATGAGCCCAAGAGTGTGCATCCAACTGGCGATCACCTCTTGGTTCGTTGGCTTCCTCAACGCGGTGGTGCAGACTGCGTTCACCCTGTGCCTTCACTTCTGCAGCCTCAACATCATCAATCACTTTGCGTGTGAAGTCCTGGCTGTTGTCAAGCTGTCATGCTCGGACACCTTTGTGAATGATATTTCACTGATGGTGGCGGGCGTCATTGTGCTGCTGATCCCCTGCATCCTAGTCATGCTCTCCTATGTGTATATCATCAGTGCCATCTTGCGCATCCGCTCTCCAGAAGGCCGGCACCGAGCCTTCTCCACGTGCACCTCTCACCTGACCGTGGTCGTCCTCTGCTATGGCACCGCCATCTTTGCTTACTTGAGTCCCAAAGACAACTTTGCGCCCAACCAGGACAAGATGCTTGCTTTCTTCTATGCAGTGGTTACACCCATGCTCAACCCTATCATCTACAGCCTAAGGAACAAGGAAGTCAAAGGAGCCTTGTCTAAAGTTGGGAAGACGTGGCAGTGAAAGGCAATGATTCACCTGCACGTTTGTATCACTGTGGCTGAGTGGCACAGCGAACAGAGTTTTCCATATTGTTTTGGGGAGACTTGGTTAGTGCCAGACAGAGTGTTACACCAGTTTGGTGTAATGGTTAGGAGTGTGGATTCTAATCTGGGAGAACTGGGTTTGATTCCCCACTCCTCCACATGCAGCTACCAGTGTGACCTTGGGTCAGTTACAAGTTCTTTCAGAGCTGTTCTCTCAGAAGCAGTTCTCAAAAGATCCCTCTCAGCCCCACCTACCTCACAGGGTGTCTGTTATGGGGAGGGGAAGGGGAAGGAGATTGTAAGCTGCTCTGAGACTCCTTTGGGTAGTGAAGGGCGGGGTGTAAATCCAATCTCTTCTTCTACCCTTCTAAGCCCCTTGATATCAATGGACTTAAGAACAGTGTACCTCTGCACAGGATGGCTCCATCAGGGTGCCACCCTATGTATGACTATCTGGGAATAAGTGTCGCCATTCTGGGCCCACTGATCAAGAATGAGCAAGGACTTAGAACAGCTGGTCAGTTAAACAGAAAGGACTTGAATCTAGAATATGTGTGACGTTTTCTGAACTGGTGGGTGGGTGGGGGTGAGAGCTACTTTTCAGTAATGAAAAATATTTGGAGTTACTTCTCACCCCAGTGTTTTGTCAGCTTGTTCTGAGACTGTCGTGGGTCAGCCTGAGCTCAGCTCAGGGGAGGAGGGTGCTCAGGAGAAGGGAAGCCACGCATGGCTGGCTCTAAGTCAGCAGAAGTCAGCAAACAGGCTGACGAGCTGCAGGCTGACCAAGACTCACCACCCAGCTCTGATGCAGCAGGTGAGACTCGAGTGATTAAGACCAGTCCACCAGGCTCACCTCCACCCTTTGAGTGCCGGAGACAGAAGCTTAGAAGGGAGCTGCAAGCAAGGAGGTCCATCGCCAGCTGCTTGCTGATGACAACCTGGAGTAGTTGCAGCAGTACTCCCAAGCAGCTGGCTGCCAACAACAGTTCTTTCAAATGCACTGTCTGTTGACACATTCAACTGCAAAATCACTGTGCTGAATAACCAAGCAAAGTACAGGGATATGTGAGCATTGACTCACTTATAGCGCAACCTTATGCCTGTCTTTTCAGAAGTATATCCCACTGTTTTCAGTGGCAATTGCTATAGTAATAAAATTTACAGTTTAGACACATTCTCTCAGGCTTAACAGTGTTATGAAGCTGGCAGTTTGAGGATTTGCCCCAACTACTAAATGTCCCTAGTTCTAGAACAAAACATTTTTTGTGTTCTTATGAAAGATGGTTTTTATTATAAATATGCAAATAATTGCAATGATAAAATCTCAAAAAATCTTGCTTGCCAGATTAAGTCGTATCATATTATAGTTCGTATCTGTTGTACAAATGTCACATCTTTTACACACAATGTAAAATTTCATATCTTACATTCTGGGGAAAGAGGTAAGAGTTCCAGAATTTCGGTGCCACGATTGCGAAAGCCCTCACCTGGGTTTTTCCACCCACTTTACCCTAGAAGGGGGGGGGGCACCTAAAGCAGGGCCTCTGAAGATTACCACAGTGGTTGAGTAGATCCATAAGGGAGTCAAAAGTCCTTTGGGTATGAAGTCCTTCAATGTGGCCAATTGCAAGGCGATGCACATTGGAGCCAAAAATCCTAAATATAAATACACATTGATGGGGTCTGAACTGGCAGAGACTGATCAAGAGAGAGATCTTGGAGGCGTAGTAGATAACTCACTGAAAATGTCGAGATAGTGTGTGACTGCAATAAAAAAGGCCAATGCTATGCTGGGGATTGTTAGGAAGAGTATTGAAAACAGATCAGCCAATATCACAATGCCCCTATATAAATCAATGGCGTGACCTCATTTGGAATACTGTGTGCAGTTCTGGTCACCACACTTTAAAAAAGATATTATAGATTTGGAAAAAGTGCAGAAAAGGGCAACTCGAATGATAAAAGGGTTGGAACACTTTCCCTATGAGGAAAGGTTAAAGCGCTTAGGGCTCTTTAGCTTGGAGAAACGACGACTGAGGGGTGACATGATCGAGGTTTATAAGATTATGCATGGGAAGGAGCAGGTAGAGAAAGAGGTACTTTTCTCCCTTTCTCACAATACAAGAACTCGTGGGCACGGAAGTACTTCTTCACCCGAAGAGTGATTAACACATGGAATTCACTGCCACAGGAAGTGGTGGCTGCTACAAGCATGGATGGCTTCAAAAGGGAATTAGATAGCATATGGAGCATAGGTCTATCAGTGGCTATTAGCCACAAGGTATAGGGCTCTGGGGCAAGTGATGCTCTGTCTTCTTGGTGCTTGGGGGGGGGGTCAACAGTGGGATGGCTTCTAATGTCCTGGCCCCACTGGTGGACCTCCTGATGGCACTTGGTATTTCTGGCCACTGTGTGACACAGAGTGTTGGACTGGATGGGCCTTTGGCCTGATCCAACATTGGCATCTCTTATGTTCTTATGTATGCTGGCCTCAAGCTATATAAGGCTTTAAAGGTCAATACCAGCACCTTGACCTGGATAGCCCAGGCAAGCCCGATCTTGTCAGATCTCAGAAGCGAAGCAAGGCCGACCCTGGCAAGTATTTGGATGGGAGACCTCCAAAGAATACCAGGGCCAGGAGGCAGAGGGAGGCTATCAAGCCGCTTCTCTGAACGTCCTCCATGTCCCTGTAGGAGTCACCAGAGGTCCCCATGCCTTCCAGGCATGGGCACACACACACACATGCATAAATGCAAAAATACCAAAAGGATAAGAATGCCAGCACCTTGAATTGTGCCCAGAAGCAAACTGGGAGCCAGTGCAGATGAGCCAGGACTGGAGTCAGATAGTCCCTACAACCCATTGTTTTGTTAGCTTCTTTGGCTTTATTGACTGTAATTAAAAAAAAAAATGTACGCCACTTCAAGAACTGTACAATTATCAGGCAGCATAGAAATGAATCCAACCTTTAAAGAAGCACAAGACAATCTCTGAAACATGGCTGGATGGGGAAATGGTTTCATGACTGGCATAAGCGCCAGCCAATCAGCATTGTGCGGGTCTGGTTTCTGCCCTAAACCAAAAGAACAGGTTTCCCCAATCGAGGTCTACAGAAGGTTGAACAGATGTTGCATATGCAGTCAGAGAACTTTCATAGCGGGCACACAGCTGAAATGATATACGTCCTCTCCCCCACTGTTTCGCTGGCTTAGAATGTCTTTGGCTACTCTATATCAAAAGTGGACAACATCCAAGTGCTGAGTCTGCCCGATAGCTGTGAGATTTATTTATTTAATTCATTCATTTGTACCCTGCCTTCATCCCCAACGGGGACCCAAGGCGGCTTACAGTGGTCTTCTCTCCTCCATTTCCCCCTCGCCACAACCCTCTGAGGTTGGTTAGGCTGAGAGTGTACGTGGCTCAAGGTTACCCCGCAAGCTTCCATAGCGCAGGTGGGGATTCATCTAGATACCAGCCCAACACTAAGCTTTGCATTTCATATCACTCTTGACTTTCTTATTAATAATGAATCCACAGTAACCTATTTTACTTGCTGATCTTACACCCAGAGTGCCCCAATCTCTGATTGTTAATATCACAGGAGGTGGCTCTCCCACTATGGCCGCACACAACTGGCTAAATATATGAATACTGGAAGCTGATGGGTAGAGCTTATCACAGAGGCCTTTAAAACTTTCAACTCACTCGTGAGCATGTATTGAAGAGTATGGGGGTGGAATTCACACTTCTTCAGCCTCCCAAAATTTCAGGTACGATAAAACAGCTAGGAGGGAGGGGGAGGTAAATTATTTTGACTCTGTTGCCCCTAGGAATCACTGGGGCAGATTTGTAAGGGGATCTCTGTATCCCAGACCTCAAAAAAGGGAAACATCCTCTCAGAAAACGGATAGTTGAAGCTAAAGAGACGCTCCATGGAGTCGCCGTCAAAAAAGGAGAGGATGCCACGATCGTAGTCCAGGTGCACTCTGATTCTCTGTGGTGACTTCCACAGGAAAAGGGTGGTGAAAGGGGTAGTGGAGGCCCTGTACTCTCCTTCGTTCAGCTGTAGGGCCCAAAACCCCTGTTCAGCTGTTATGTAGAGGTACCATTTTCTATCAATTGATTCCTTGACAGCACCAATGGACCAGCTTTTGGCCTTGCCCACATTCACCACCCATTCCAGAGTCCCAGAGGTGATGCCTTCTGCTCCCAGAACACATGGCACATAATTGAATCGCTCGGGGTTATCAGGCAGAGGTTGGGCTCGTTCTCCCAGGCGGAGCTCTTCCGGTCTTCAGAAAGGATAAGCGTAGGGAAGGCTGTTTTGGGATCCAGCGTCACCTCCACTAAAAAGAGAGATCGAGAAAAAAGGCAGTGTTGCAATGTTCACCAGCAGAAGAGACTATTCTTCGCACATTTTCAACTCAGGAACGGTGGAGACAAATGTAGTATTTTAAGTATGGCGGAGGTGTTTGATAATGCCAATGCTATCTTCAAAACATATATACACTCTCTTCTGAGAGAATCTTTTAAAACACTTGTTCTACAGAGGTTTGGCATGGTTTCAAGCTGGACCAGAGAAAAACTGACACCTCAAATGATGTCTGTACAGTGGCCATAATGAGCACCACTTGGTTAGCATCCGGGGTTAGCATCCGTGACATCACCAACACCTCAGTTCCCTCCCCACTTCAGGAAGCAGTTGTTTTTTTAAAAAACCCTTCTTGTAAGGTGAAGGATGAATATACGCTTGCATAAATGAACCTATGCACCCTTTTTGCAGACTGACTAGCCCAATCTCATCAGAGCTTGGAAGCTTAAATAGGGTTGGCCACAGTTAGTATTTGGATGGGAGTCCACGGAAGAACAGAGTTGCTATGCAGAAGAAGGCAATGGCAAACCCCACGTCTGCTCATCTCTTGCCTTGAAAATCTCATGATCCTGGTGTTGCTATGAGCTGGTTGTGACTTGATAGCA